AAAAGAATATACAAAGGGTAAAAAGCAATGAATGTCGTTAAGAATCAAAGATAACTTTGGACAGGCCGCGTTTAAAAGAAGGCCGTGACTCTGCTTTCCTTAATGAGGTGTCTCACCCGTTCCATATATCAGCGCAAAAATTCACTGACGACCATTTACCTCATCTTAAAGCAATGGATTTGTGAATGTCATGTCTCGATCTTGTGTAGTAGCTATGAAAATCACCATTGAATGTGACGGGGATAGTGACAGAAATGGTTGTTGATTAATTTATACGTAAAAATAGCATGATGTTCCTTTCTACGTCACAATAATGGCTTCCTGCCAAGTCTCTTAAGCGCCTCAGCTGCAGAAAAATGTGCAGGAAGATCTAAAATGAGGCGAGCGGCCTTATTCTGTGACACTTGAAGCTCAGACATAAAGGAGGCATTTCCGCGATCTCCTCAAACAATATCCCCATGGTCAGAAAGAGGTAAAATGAAACTATTAAAAAACATAATCCTAGCATTGAGGGGGAGGTAATATTTAATACTCTGTAAGAGACCCAACTTTTAACTGATCTTACCACGAATATAATCAATGTGGTCAGTCCAGGAAAACCGGTTACTGATCACAATACCCACGTATGTGTAAGAATCTACATTATCGAGAGGGATATCGTCAGCAGAAATAAGGATGGACCCAACTTTTCTTAAGTGGGAAGAACTACCAATAAGTAAAAGTTTGGATTCTTTAACATTCAGAGTAAGTTGGTTGGCTCGAAGCTATTCGCACTTACGTCTTAAGGAGGCTCGAAAGGGATTTCCACAATTAACAGCAAGTGCCAATCAGTAAAAGATATCAGGACTGTCAAACTTATCATCGGGATAATGACTTGACATATGCTTAACACTATCTTAGGGCAATCTGTTAAGGGAGCTCGTCAGGCATCATCGGTTGCCATGGCAACAGTACAGTGCTAAAATACCTAAAACTCAGTTTTTGAAAGATATCTCAAAAACCAAGTCGGTGACCTAGTTTTTTTTTTTTTCAAATTTATTTAACATCATCACATTCTCTATCTGTATACGTGATATAAAAATAACTAACTAGTAGAACTTGAATTATATAGGAAAATGCTGTTTTAAAATGTAAAAAATTTTCCACTAGATAAATTTTTTTAAAATTTTCTTCAGGTGTGCGTAATGATGAAAATAATTTGTACACAAAAAATCTGGGTAGGTGACCGAACTAATTTTCGAGATATTAGTTCATCAACTTAACAAGCTTTATTTCCGGTTTTTACAATTTCAGCTCACACTTTTATATCCGGTCACGCGCTTTAAACGATACCGCTGACTCCAGGGCTCATTTTCGCGAGGATGAGTCCGTGTCCGCGCGATTAATCGGTGGATGCCCTCAGCGCGGAAAAAATCGTACATCCTGAAGATGAATTCACATTGTTTCGTGATTTTACACATTCCTAAAAAATAAGTCATCATTTGAGACTCAGACTGCTTACCGTTACGACAGTTGGAAATGTAAGAACATTCCGGAGAGAATTCTCTTGCGGAATTCGATATATGATGACAAGTTGATTTTGAAGGTGGCGCCAATGCCAGTACAACATTGAGACCGTTAATGTTGAGTTTCTCGTACAGAGATTGTAGTGTAACATGAGACAAACCAGGCTCTGCCAGCTTCTGGACCATGTTTGTCGAAAGATGAAGCTTTCCATNNTGTAATTTACAGTTTATCGAGTGAAATATCAACAATCTTTCTCACAAGTTTAAGATGAATATTTTATTTTAATTTTACCGTTTCTGGTTGAATTAGAATTAAAGTCTCATCTACATTTTTACGATCTCTTGTTTACTGAAAATTATGTTTGCTTTTTTTTTTTATGGCAACATTTACACTTCTCCATTTCCGTTCATAAAACATACTTTCAATGTTTACCATCCTGGATCCAACAATGATTTCATTTTGCTTTTCATCTTCCGGTGAGTTGTTTAGGAAAGTTCTCGGTCATTTCATTTTATTAGGAATCAAATTCAATGCGAAACAAATCGTAGCACTCAGAGGTATCCACTTAAATTTTTCGCGGAACAAAGTAAGACGTACCGAATACACTCGTCGCGACTTTATTGATGGGGTGTTGACTTCACCATCCTTCTTTAACTCGTTAAATAAACTTTCTTTTACCACTTTCGGCAAAAGTCCTGCCATCCAAACATTTTCCTACCTACTTTCAAGAAGTAAACTTTCCATTTTTGTTTCTCAAACAACCAATTCCGCTGGAAACAATAGAGGTATCCGGCAATTTTGAAACGCTCATGGCGACCATGTTTGTTTACAACTCGGCCGTGGTTTTGATCGCGCGCGCCATCGCTTATTTCTCTCGCGAGTAATTTGCTTGCGTGTATCTTGGAATTTATTCTCCGCGCGGTCAAAAAAACCCTTTCGAGCCTCCTTAAGTCAGCATTAATCTTGGTTTGTAAGTCCACAGTAGATTTGGAGGCGAGATATAGAACAGTGTCATCTGCATATAAAGTGAATAAAGGCTGATAGTTTCTAAAGAAACTGTTTGGGGCTGCGTCCGTGGGGTAACGAAATAATTTGGATATATCAACAAAGTTGAAATGGTAAATTGGCCACCGTAACGATTAAAAAAGCTGACGTTTCGAGCGTTAGCCCTTCGTCGGAGCGAATAGAGAAATTGTGGGATGTGTGTGCTTTTAAAGGCAGAAACTGGAGCTATGTTATTGGTGGGAACATGACAACGAGAAAAACGCGAATGAATTGGTGGAATGAAAAGCGTTCGTTGATCCCTGTAGGATTTAGACTGCCGATTTGAAAGATGAGCTTTTGTTTAAGAGTTTTACGGCATGTAAAGTGACCTGACAGAGCTGCAAAACGTCATGTAGATCGTTCATGTAAATTATAAATAGAAGCGGGTCCAGTATAGAGCCTTGAGCAACGCCAATCGAAACAGGGGCAACTTTGTAGCATACATCATTAGAGCTGGTCACTTGATTTCTGTTCGTTTAGAATGAAGTAAACCAGGCTTTGGCAGCATCATCAATACCATAATTTGAGAGCTTCTAAAGCAGTATTGTGTGGTTGACAGTGTCAAACGCTTTAGCGAGGTCTAAAAATACAGCACCGGTCAGGCAACCATAATCCATGGAGTGAAGGATCTGATCAGAAAGCTGACAGGCGGCAGTAATAGTAGATGACTGTAATCTAAATCCCAACTGGTTGGGTGAAATTAAATTATTCTCAGTTAGAGATGCACAAAACTGATTATGAACCGCTAAGCCACTGATGACGCTAGATATTTACAGTGTTCTGTAAAAAACTAAATAACTACTTTGCGTGCTGCCAGATTAAAATAAAGCCGATGCAGTGGAGTGCGTCAAATGTTGACAGCAAATGGTTCCAACTGCAGCTGGTTAATGGCCAGTTTTGTTTTGTGACGTTTGTTTAGTTTTCTCCATTTTTGTTTTAATTATATGGGAGTCTCAAGGATCTTCTGGATATGTGCAAAGAATGATGTGGCAACCAGCTTTGATCTGTACTGTGATTATAAGTTTTTCTCTCTCTGATCCACCCAATCGTAAAAAAAGGTGTTGTAGTCATATGTCTTTCACGCACCTTGTTTATTTGAACACTTCCAAACAAGCGAAGCGATACAGGAAGAAACGATGGATAAGGACTTGTGACTGAAAAAGTCACGCAGCAGATACAGACAACTTAGGCCCGGTTTAAACGTCGCAGTTTACATGCGCCGAATCTAATACTAATTTAAGTCGACCTGAATCAAAAAAGTTCGGCATTTGATTTAAACGTCGCATTTAATTGTGCCGAATTTAATTGCCGAGTGCGAGTGACAGCTTCATTCCTAGACTCCGCTCTAAGTCCTCCGCCAATATGGCTGTCAAAAATAAGGAGGATATTTTGTGTTTTCGGTGTTTATGCCTCTCAAGCACCACTCGCGCTAACAGGAAACGGCGACTTATAATGCAGATGGCAGTGCATCATCTGCTAGCAAGAAGAAAACGGCTTCTGTACGTTTGTTCCCTTGTTATGCTTTTTCTATCGCAAAGAAATGCCATAGCACGTGTCCCAAGACCCCGATCGTGCCGTCGATTGATACGAAATGAAGGCTGGTGGCACAAGGTATGGACTACATATTCTGATGTTCGATTCTTTCCCGCCAGTTTTCTTTGCGCATGTCATGTACCAGAAAACTGTTGTGTTATGGGTAAAATATAATTAAACATAATTTATAAATTAGATTCGGCACATGTAAAATGCGGCGTTTAAATCAACTGTGGAACTTCAGTCGCATATTCGACTGGATCTGTCGAATATGCGACTGAACTCGCATTTAATACAAATCTGGCGAATTTGATTGATTTAAACGTCGCATTTTACATGCACTTAATTCGGCAATTAGATTCGGCGCATGTAAAATGCGACGTTTAAACCGGGCCTTACGCGAACGCTAAACCGCCAAAAAATCCACTTGCCAAGGCAAGATAGACAATGTGAAAAAGGAAAACCTAACATATAAAACCAAGATTGAAGACGCTCTTACTATAAGGCTCATTAACAAAGCTGAAAGAATTTGAACTTGTAGCAAGAAATAAAAAACGTGGACAAAAACGGTTCTGTTGTCCTTGCGCCTTTTCACTTTCTCGCCTTTGATTGAGCGTGGTATGGCAATAAATATTTCTGAGTCGCCTTGAAAAGTCGAGGATCAGACTTTCGGATCCCGCACGGCGATGTACCACTAGTAAGCTACAGGGATTCCGTGGTGAAGTTTAGGCGAGCTGGGCCATTACCTTGGTCACATGTGACACCATCTAGCTTATTCTATTCACAATCATTCGACGTTGCTGAAAGTTATGCAGAACGCGTGTCACTGGCTCGACTCCCTGACTGTTATTCTTTATACAATATATTTTTTTTAATTGAGTGATAGAAATAAGCTTCTGTATATCTATTTTAAATAGAGCCTGCAAGAGAAGGCCTTTTTAAAGTCGCGATCGAATCACGAAATGGAGACTTCCTGGGGGAAACGGAAATTTTGTACAAAGACGCAAATGAAGAAAAATGGAAATCAGTTGTCATTAACCAAGATAGGATGCGTGCGTTCTTAAAGGCTTTGAACCCATGTCAAAGTAGGAGTGCTGAAAGGAGCACTTGTGACACTTTAAATACAATATGCGCCGGTAAGTTTTTCTAAACCTTTCGTTATAAGTTGGCTAGTTCAAATATCTGACCGATTTACCATAATTTAACAATATTAGAGAGGCTAGGCTTGACGTTTAGGGCAAACGGGAAACGGCTAATTGACGTTTTTGAATTCGACCGATATGTGTTTTTGTCTAATCGAATATGCACATTTTTGTGTTTCTTTCGAAGGTCGACAGAAACGTGAAAACTATTCTGCAAAAACCAAGGTTTCGCCCAAATGATAATCTATTCTTCTACTTTAAATGGATGTCATAATTGTTAAACTATTTCCTTTTCGACTTCTTTAAATTGTCCTACTTAAACAGTCACCATTACAGGACAAGATTGCTTGATTTGTTGAAACTTATACTTAGCAATGCGCTTCAAAAAACAAAGAACATTACGAAGGTCACTGCGCTTAACTTTTTTCATTAAAAAAACTCCTAACGAAGAACAATACGGCGTTAGCATAAACCAACGAAACGACTATGTTGAAAGCAACTTGTAATGAAATTACCTCAACAAAAACAACGCCCACATCGCGAAAATATAAAGTGCGTGACATAGTTCTTGCATAACTTGACGCAAAAACCTAGACTTAATTGAATAGAAACGGAACATTACAATCGTACCACAAGGCAAAGAAAAGATTTTATTTCCGAATAGGAATGCCCTACATTACCTCGACGATGTTGAATATAAGAAAATTGTCGCTTATCGATTCCAAGTGATGCTTAAATTTCCTTAGTGCTGCCTTTAACTTTTGAATTTTGTGTTTTAGGGCCTTTTAGTGAACAGAAGGCATCATTATCCATTCAGCTGCTGCTGCGGCTGCTTTACAAAGCAGCAGAAGTTAATGCTAAATGGTTTATCCATCTTATTTTTACCTTGCCTGCTGGAAGAATAGCCTTTGAGTCGTACAAAGAAATAGTTTTGTCACCGGAAATTGTCGCTAGCGCACATGGCCACGAAGAGATTGCGCAGTACCTCGGGGATGTGAGAGAAAGGTGGTGTAAAAAAATTAACCCCTATGATAAATAAACAAACAAACAAATAAACGAAAGAGAACAAATTGAAAGAATGCCAAAATCGCAGAGATTAAGCTTCCGCGTTTGATCTACGGTAATTAGATATTTACTTTGGTTCTCAATTCTTAATACTCAGACGACATTTAAGTCCATCATTTAAAAACAGTCTAAAATTTTTTGTTTCTCGGTAACATAACAAAATCGTATTACTCTTGTATGCTTGCACATGTTTTAGAGGATGAATGAATGAATTAACTTAAATAATTACTCCCGTACAGGCTTTCCAGCAAATATTTGCAATGATAGACAATTTACAATCACAAATGAACAACTTAAAATAGATGAAAAAAAAATATATTATATACAATACATCGTCAACTCCTCAAACGTCAATCGCACTTGTTTCAGTCAACCTGCTATTTGTCTTGAGTAAACGCTTTATATCTTACCTTTGCATACACCCAGTGAGATAAAAATGACTAGGAAGAAAACTAAAGAAATCTGGCCCCATTCCTACTTGCAGCTCTTTTCAATAGCTTTGGGAGATAATGTTTCATCAAAAGCATGCAGAAGAAAAATGGAAAAAAAGATTAGATTCATTTCCATTTTGATAAATTGTGGTCATCTCGTGGAACGTCCAACTTACTCTGGTGCGAAAAAAAAATTCCGCTATCTTGGATCTATTTAATTGCAGTTAAAAATTTTTTGGTATATCAAAATGTTTCTTTCCCTTTTTGTGCAATGATTGTTTTTTAACGGAAATATGAAAATACAAGTGTGTCGTCTTTCCTGCACAGATTTTCTGTCAGTGAGGAAGGGCGAGAAGGGCGGTCAAACAATATTGACTGGCAAGAAATAATGGACGCTATGGAAGCAACAGAGACTGCAATTAGTAAGTGTTTGTACTTCAGCCATGTGTGTGTAAGAACGCGTTATTAATCCGAGCGGAAAAAAAGAAGGTTCTGAAATTTAATGTACGGACCAAGGAAACGAGGTCAGTAGTGTATGTGTTATATGTCTGGGTTCAAATGGGGGAGGGAAGTTTTCAATTCAGACAAATTTTGAGTGTAGTGGACCGCAAGTAGGGCCCGCTAAATTGACCAATAGTGCATTTTACACTTGTGTCGCCAAGCCTTTGAACAGGAGTGAGGCTAAGGGTGACCTTGTTATGATACAAACGTTGCTGCTTTTTAATTTAGACTACTTTGTTATCATGCTAACTAGATGCTAGTCTCTATCACAAGCAGGTCACCTTCAGCCTCACTCGAAATCAAAGGCTTGGCGACTAAGTACACGACTGTAAACTTGCCTATTATCGCATTTATTAACTAAGAGATGTGATAATCTTACAGGGAGATGTTTGTTATGCTGTATCAATTTATTCATCCAATTTTATGGCACTTTCTTAGGGGGTGCCTGCTTGGTATTTCTTCAATAAGAGAGCATCTCCCCAGTAGCACTTATCGTCAGCTTTATTCTTCACCAATAGACATTGATGATCAAACCAGTGAAATCGAAATGGAGGAAAATAGCGCTGTTCAAGATGACGCTATAGATAGGCCCGGAAAGTATCACCTGAAGGAAAGATTAGAGAACACATGGAAAGATGCCAGTAATATAGAGGAAGAGGAGAGCGATTTGGCTCAAGAGATCGCCACTTTCGGGAAATTTAACATTTAGTTGAAGAACATTGCCAGAACTTGAATCAACAACAGAACAACTCGTACCCTGCCCTTGGCAAGTTTTCGCTTTGTGTACAGCAAATTAGGTTCCAGATCAGCAAGCAAACTGTCCTTCCCTTGACTGATGTATTCCTTGACTCTTAAAAAGCAATGGGAATAAAAAGAGAAACAGTTTAAATGCAACTTTTTATATCTCCAAATACAATTATACAATGATGACGTACACAAGCGAACGATGTAAGCAAAGTAAATAGTGCTATAGTGCGTAAATCTTTGTCAGAATGGTTTCTATATCTCAGCCATTTTTTATATTCTGATATCCTTTTGCCACTTAAAGAAGAACCAGGAATGTCGTTTTCCTTAAGTCGGTGGTCCATAATTATCTCTTTCTCTCTCTATAAATTCAGAATGTTTTGTCCTAAAACATCTCGACTTCATGCTTGGCCGCTATCTCGACTTAGGTTGGCCGCCATTTATGAAATCGATGTATTGTTCATTTTTGTTTTAATTATGTGGGAATCTTAACGATCGTCTGGATAAGTGCAAACAATGATGTGGCAACCTGCTTTGGTTTGTACAGTGACTGAAAGTTTATCAAGACAGCATTCCCTCTTTAATCCCCCGAGAAAAGATGTTGTAGTCATATGGCTTTCGCGCACCGTATTTATTTTTAACAGTTCGAAACAAACGAAGCGATGTAAGAAGAAACGAAGGAGAAGGACTTGAGACTGAACGAATCACGCAGCAAATACAAACAACTTAGGCGGACGCTGAACTGCCAAAAAATGACTTGCTAAAGCAAGATGTACAATGTGAAAAAGAAAAACCTAACATACAAAACCAAAACCGAAGACGCTTATAAGGCTCATTAACAAAACTAAAAGAACTTGAACTTGAACTTGTACTTGAACCAAGAAATATAAAACCTTGACAAAAACGGTAATGTTGTCCTTACACCTCTTCATTTTCTCACCTTTTCTTGAGGGTAGTATGCCAAGAAATATTTTTGAGTCGCCTCGAAAAGTCGAGCATCAGACCTTCGGATCCCGCATTGCGATGCACTACTAGTAAACTACAGAGACTCCATGGTGAAGTCTTGGCGAGCTGGGCCATTGCCTTGGTCATACGTGACACCAACTAGCTTATTCTATTTACAATCAATCGAAATTGCTAATCCTTACACTTTCTCGACTCCCTGACTCTTATTCTCTATACAATACTTTTTTTTATTGGAGTGATAGAAATAAGCTTCTGTATATTTATTTCAAATAGAGCCTGCAAAAGAAGGCCTTTCAAAAGTCAGGATCGTGTCACATGATCATCATATCATATCATCATATCATATCATCAGAGGAAACGGAAATTTTATACAAAGTCGTAAATGAAGATAAATGGAAAGAGATCGTCGCCATCCGAGATCGGATGCCTGCGATCTTAAAGGCTTTAGATCCATGTGAAAGTGGGAGTGCTGAAAGGAGCACTTGTGACACTTTAAAAACAATATGTGCCGGTAAGTTAACTAGTTCAAACATCTGACCGATTAACCATTATTTTACTATAATAGAGAGGATAAGCTTGACGATCACGGCAAACGGCAAACGGCTGCTCGACGTTTCAAAATTCAACCTATATTAGTGTTGTTTGATCAAATATACACATATTTGTGTTTCTTTCAGCGGTCCACAAAAACATGAAAACTATTCTGCAAAAACTAAGACTTCGCCCAAATGATAATCTATTCTTCCACGTTAAATGGATGCCATAATTATTAAAAAATTTTCTTCTCAACTTCTTGAAATCGGCATACTTAAACAGGCACCATTGCAACACATAATTGCTCGATTGGTGGAAACTTATAATTAGCAACGCCGTTCAAAATCACACAGTCACAGCGCGTAAGGTTTTTCATTTAGAAACTCTTAACGAAGAACAACACGGCACTAGCAGAGACTTACGAAACGACTATGTTGAAATCAACTTGCAATGAAATTTCCGTAACGAAAACAGCGCGCACACATATACAACATATTCTGACAAAATATGTAAATGCAAATTCTAGTCGTTACCACGAGTATGACAACAGAAGTCCTGTTATCAATTAAACAAAACAGGAAAAAGATTTCAGAAACAAACTAGTCATCGGTCAGACTGACTTTTTCCCCGGTCCCCCTCCCTCCAAAAAAAAAAAAACCTAAAGAAAAGAATTGTATTTCCGAATAGGAATGCCCTACATGACCTCAAAAATGTTGAGGATAAGAAACATTGTTGCTTATCGATTCTAAGTGATGATTAAATTTCCCTAGTCCCGCCTTTAACTTTTGAATTTTGTGTTTTAGGGCCTACTGGTGAACAGATAGGATCATCATCATTAGTTCAGGTGCAGGTGCTGCTGCTGCTGCGGCTGCTTTACAAAGCAGCAGAAGTTAATGATAAATGGTTTATCCGTCTGATCTTTAACTTACCTGCTGGAAGAATAGCCTTTGAGTCGTACAAAAAAATAACTTTGTCACTGGAGATCGTCGCTAGCGCACATGGCCATGAAGAGATTGCGCAGTACCTCACTGATGTAAAAAAAAGGTAGAATAAACAATTGAACGCCGGTGGTAAACATACAAACAAACTAACGAAAGAGAACAAACTGAAAGAATGCTAACAGCGTACAGATTACGCTTCCGCGTTTGGTCTACGATACTTATATGATTATTTCGGTTCTCAATTCTTAATACTTAGACGACAGTTAAGTACATCATTTAAAAACGGCTTTGAAATTTTTTGTTTCTCGGTTACAAAAAAAAAACATGTTACTCATGTATGCTAACACATTTTTTTGACGATATATCGTCAACTCCCGAAACTTTAAAGTGCTACCGAAACGAAATTTTCGTATCTGACATTTTTGCTCTAACCTGTAGTTTTGAATATGGTGATCATCATGAGATAATTTGCTTTGGCCAAAATGAGGCGAAAGATATCTGTTTTTAACCGTTCAAATCAAAAGTTTTACGAAAACCATGTCCGGGCTCTG